AATGTCCTTTTTCCCTTTCTCGCCTCAGGACCAGGATGCTGAAGATGAAGAGAGACTTTGGAGAGACCTGATAATGGAGAGAGTCACAAAGTCAGCAGACGCCTGTCTGACAGCTCTTAACATCATGACCTCAGTGCACATGCCAAAGGCTGTCTACATAGAAGATGTCATAGAGCGGGTGCTACAATACACCAAGTTCCATCTTCAGAACACACTGTATCCCCAGTATGACCCAGTCTACAGGGTGGACCCACATGGAGGTGAGGATAAGGAAAAAGCTTTAATTTGATTATTTATTTTTAGATGAGCTTAAGCCTTATACTCTTGTGGTCTGAGTGAGACTAAATTGATAGGCTTTGGTATGTGGCTGATTGTCTGGGGATGTTTCAATAATTTTTTGGCATTTGAGTGTCCATAAAACTATCCAAGAACCAAGCTGAGCAATGGGCAAAGTTGTCATCAATCGATCCCTGGTGTTTGGAAACTACAGGGGTATCACTTGAAAATACAGTTTTCTCTTTTACGGACTTTATAGACTCTTCCTTCATGGAAGTATACCTTAAGCACTAATGGTATGAGCTGTATTATAAATCATTACAGATGTAATACATTGTTCTTGTAGCATTTCAGTTAGATTTTTTACACTTTGGGTGGAGATTAATTTGACGAACATCCTAAATAGCTCCCTGAATTGTGCTTGAAAAGTGTTATGTCTTTGAAAAACACTGGGATTTGATAAAGTGTGAGTCAGTTTTGTTTGTTCCTGATGAAAAACACTTTAAGGAAACTATTTACCAAGGTTACTCCTTTCCATCTAGGTGGCATGTTGAGCTCAAAGGCAAAGCGTGCAAAATGCTCCACACATAAGCAACGTGTGATTATCATGTTGTACAATAAAGTGTGCGACATTGTCAGCAACATCTCTGAGCTTCTAGAGATTCAGCTACTCACAGACACCACCATTCTCCAGGTAAATACTACATTCTTTTTTCCAGGTTTCTTCCATGGGAATCACACCGTTCTTTGTGGAGAATGTCAGTGAGCTGCAGCTGTGCGCCATTAAACTAGTTACAGCAGTAAGTCTTTTTTTCTCAGAAATGTGCAGAAATCCAGTATTTATTTAAAGATGGTACTTCCAACCATATTTTCAGATCTCTTTATCTAGAATACTGTATTTAATTTTTTTGTGTACTTGATCCCTTTGTCTGTAATCCTTGCATGTGTTTTCATCTTAGTACAAAAGTGTGAAGTGAACCACCTTATTATGTCTTGCCTCCAGGTGTTCTCGCGTTATGAGAAGCATCGGCAGCTGATCTTGGAGGAGATCTTTACCTCTTTGGCCAGACTGCCCACCAGCAAACGTTCCCTCAGGAATTTCAGGTAATGTGTTTTACATGAATTCACATTGATTTATGGAAAGTGAGTGTTGGAAAAGTAAGGCTTTAAATCAGAGGCTCGAATACTGTGCAGCCAACAGTATAGTAAAATAATAGTTAAGACGAGGGTGATGATATCACTGATAATAACAACAATGATACTTTTTGTGTTTTAAGGCTGAACAGCTCAGACCAGGATGGAGAGCCAATGTACATCCAAATGGTGACTGCCCTAGTTCTGCAGCTGATTCAGTGTGTGGTCCACCTCCCCAATGACAAGGAGACTTTCGATGAGTTTGACAACAAGGTAGGAGAGCAAGCTGCGTAAAACTGCCACATAAACAGGAAAATACACAATTTATACAAACACCCATTCAGACATGTCATTTGCTCAAGAGTTCTTTTACTTTTTTAGGTGGATCAGGATGTGTTGATAACCAACTCGTATGAGACGGCAATGAGAACAGCACAAAACTTCCTCTCAGTCTTCCTTAAAAAGTAATTAACATTCCATTCTATACTGCCTTGAAATAAGCCATGTATTTTTGGACTACAGTGATGTATTGTACTGCTGTGCTCTGTCACAAGTATTAGGGTTGGGTATTGTTTCAATTTTATTGACTCAGATTCTGCTTATCGATCCCAGTTCTTATTGACTCTCAGTTCTGATTCCAGA